GATCACAGTCTAGTCATTTGCCCTGAATCGGGGTTACGTGGGCGCGGATAGAGAGATTGCACAAACCAGGTTGTCTTTCTTTGTTCGTTACTCAAACGATTACGTACCCAGAAGCCTAGAGCAAATGTCGACACGTTCTCGCGGTGGCCGCTGATCCCAATTCATCTCAAATGCATGTGGCGATAATTCTCAGGGGAGCCTGACCTTGCCGTGAGATTATTAGAGGATTTGATTTGATTGTATGATGATTTTCGTCGTGCAAAGAATCAATGAAGCGTGCACAGAAGGGCTAGGAGGCACTAGACATCTGGTTCAAACTGGCTGGATCACAGCAGCAATGCCAATCCATTGATCCATCTAGGGATTCTGTGTGGGAAAGAATTAAAAATGATCTGATCAACAGCCCAGTGTTCAAAAAAGTAGTCTGCTTTGCGTTCTACCGGTGGGGTCCTGTGTTCAATTCTCAGTTGGGTAGATGGATTTTCACTGCTGAGGAGACTCAACTAGGTTGAAAATTTATTCCAGTAATACAAGGCTTTTCCAGTAGCACTTCGTTTATCCCGGACACAACGAACTACACATGCTATTCACCTAGCATCGCATCTCAACTTAGTTTCAGTATTGAGATCCGCTTGTGCTATCCATAGGCATTGAGAAATCCACAAATGAGCAGTCAGCAAATAAAATTTAGGTATCTCATGAAGAAGATGAATTGAAGCAAGTTAGCTGAGTGAAAGTACAAAGCGAGGCACGAGTTGAAAAATGGAAAGAATAACTTCAAATGCGGGTAAATCAGTGAAATCGCATTTTAGTCGTTCACGTTAACTGTCGGATGGTCTGATGCTTAAATAGTTAAGGCCATCAAAATAGAAACCCGAGGTCCCGGGTTCCCGCCCTTCCACCTCTGCTCATCTTCTCCACTGCAGTATTTTCCCAGGCAGCCAGTGTATGGCCACAGACTCCTTCCTGAAAATTGACTGTACATTGGCATATTCAATAAATGAAAAGGAATTACAAACGTTGCATCTCATCAAGGTGTTTCTTTGTTGTTTTCCCTTTGTGTGTGTGTTTATAAGCCATGATAACCGGGAAACCAAGTGCCAAGTGGGTATTTTGGATGTATCAAATGGACCGTGGAAGGAAGTCATCTGCTTGTTTCAATCCAACCGCGACCAGCATGCCGCGTTCTGCTCGGATGTTTTATGCATCCCTTATTGGTATCACCAGGCCACCAATTATCATTGCACAGATGATGTACGACTCGATGTATGATGAGGTAATCGTATCCCTAAAGGGGCACAATTGGTATATAAGCGAGTAAAAATGACACAACTGTCGTGCTAATCTGAAGTATATCTTTAACAGGTAACAGTGAGTGAAACCCAAGATGATGCCCAGGTAAAATCCTATTTTTCCCTATGCTATTCTTCACTTGCCTTCCATCACGTGTGTTCTATTTCATTATAGGATATTGGTGTATTGATTTTCTGACAAGAAGATGCTTAGCTTTTAGTTAACCATTTTTTTATTAAACTAATTAATTATGCAACTTTGAGGATGTTGGCATAATACGGCTGTTAACACTATTCGAAGAAACAACGATTGGGAAAACTAAACTACATAACAATCAATGGAAAATGTCAACGGGTCGACTTAAAATGGAATGAACCATAGACAAGTGATATTTGCTTTCAGTGGAGCACGGGCAAATCCCCTTTTCCGATTGCAGAAACTGAATGGGAAGTGAGATCACTTGATGAGCAATAAACTAACAGAAAAATAATCTGATTTATTTGCAGGCTGCTGCTGCGATCACAACCCATCGATCAACCGTCTTGTAAGCGCCGATTTCCAAGATACCTAACACTTAGTGTGTCTGCTAAATTTTACGATTCATTATTGAATCTAAAACTTGTGAAACATTCGTATTATTGTTGCACAAAACGTAAAATAAGATGCTGTAAACATCTCAGCTGATTAGCACATTTTACCTCACAACTGCTTGTAAACAGATAAAAAAATATATCAATCGATCCCTGTCATTTATACAATCAAAATGTTTGGGGCATTATGTGGTTTTGCCAGGATTTTTGTTGGACTATTTGGTATCCACGAGAAGCCCCAGATAGAGCTGCGAAACGTATAGTAAATCGGTTTGTTTTTCGCGGCCTGAGATGTTCAGTTACCTACTTCCAAGTTTGGATACCAATTTCTAAATAGTCTCTAAGTTTGTATTACTACTTTTATTACTATCATTAATATTGCTCCAATCCAATAAAATAGTATTCGTCATAATTCCCACATTAGAGGCTTTTATTCCTTTAATAAATTATCTTCTCCAGAAAGGATGACTGCATGCCTCTTTCTGAGTCGGGGTATAATGTATTGGTTCCAAAGAAATTCCAGTGTAAAAGAACCTGAGACTTGTTTTCAATAGTCTTTGTATGTTGCCTGATCGGGATTACCAGACTGGACTTTAATGCACATCGGACCGAGGCCTGATACACTGTTCAGTCAGTGAGAAAGTCTAGTCTTTATAACAAGCCTATTCACTGAAGACACAGGATCAAGAGTTAGGTGGGTAATTGCATGAACATCACTGTCCGGAATCGAAGACACGGTGATTGCATAGCGAACTGCGTGATTCGGATGAGTGATGCGCACCGGCGGAATGTCATCAGATGACACACATTTCGCTTTCCTCTATTGATACGAGTGACTCTATGTCTGGTTAGAAATTCAATGCACCGAAGAAGCCCGAATCAATTACCATACGTGCAGTGCATGCAATGACAGCTCTGTGCTGAAATTCCTCATGAAGAAAATCAAACTTGCGAACTTGAAAAGTTCGGTAGTTTCTAGTAACCACTGATTAAATTGTACTATCTAAACTTTGATCAGTGATGCTTTTGTAAAACAGAAACAAATGTGGATTACTTTTTATTGTTATGCAAAACAGCGTGAAAACGTTCGCTTGTGTGCAGTTTAGAAACGCAAGGAAATGAAAACACCTGTTCTCCGTTATATCAGCTGTTGGTTGGTTGCGATACATTCATTCTGTTGTTCAACACATGTGAGTTAGCAGAACAGATATAAGTGAAAAAGTTAATTATTCAACTTATAATAACATGATAGTAATATGGTAATTGAGAAGCACGTTGTGTTTGTGTCTGAATATATCTCATTTGTCACCTAATTGAATATAACATTGTTTTTGCTATACGTTACCCTACTATTTATCAACGTACTGATAAAAACCACATTTGGAAAAACCTTTGTCTTATTAATAAAAGAATTAGAAGGAAATTCTTACATTGTTTTCGGAGAGAGAGAAAAATAGAGCCAATACTGAGTGAATGAATTAAATCATTTATGAGGTGCACAAAATGTGGCCAATTCGTGAGGCCGCAAACAGAGCTGTGTGCTACTGGGTACGTTGCCAGGTAACGGATAAAGAGTCGGACACCTATTTGTTGGTTAATCCTAAATGAGGTGGATATAGACTCACTATCTAAACGGTCACAGACGAGTAACAGTACACGTGATCAAGGTCGTGGTGGGGTTTCCTTTAGCTTATTCTCTCCACTCGAAAACATCATACACCTTTGTAGTCCGCAATGTGGTATGGCGCTCGCAGCCTATAACTCAGTAAGTTCACTGCTTGGGGTCACCAAACAAGATCAATGATCAAGTTGTGCTCTGTCTACCCGAAATGGTTTCCTTGATGAGGCACATGATCTGCGAAATAGGCTACTGCCTCGTTTAGCATAGCCTGCTTTAGAAAGCATGCTAATGTGTAATTTCTAGACATTCAAGCTCGAACAGAAAGGCATAGTGAGTTACCATTAACCAATCTATCCCAAGTGATAATCTATAACACCTGGCAGCTTGTGCGTATTCATCCCCCCCCCCTGATTGTAAATTGCCGAACTAATTTAGCTGCTGAGCTAAACTTTGTGAAACTATAAAATCAAATTCACATAGATTAGCACTTTCATTGTTAATTATTAATAAGAAAGCTGGAACATATCAATGCTGTAAGGAAGTGATTCTCTCCTGTATGCAGTCAAAGTTAGTCCACACAATTTGATCGATTAAGAGTTCATAGAAATATGAGGAAGTTCACAAATTATCCTTGTTTCGTGCACTGCTACGGATGTGGACATTTAAAACTTGTCAAAGTTTCATCCAGTTTGTACTTGAAAAATCAATACGACTTCTGAACAATGACACAATTGAGTGAATTCTGCCATTTTACTCCAAAGGACAAGGTGTCAATATAACAAGAGTTTTTTGATTGAATGGAGAGTGAATGGCCTAATAATAAATTTCCACATATTAAAACTATATCTTACCCCAGGATAACTCAGATGATGTAATCTCGTGAATCAATAGGGAACATTTTTATGCCTTATTTTCTTATACCTTTCTATAAATGCAAATTAAAGAAGGGTGCTGCGTATAAACCGAATGGTAATAAACAGAAATTGTGGAAGGAAAAATTGAGCGAAAACAACGGGTAATGAGTCGAGAAGAACGTGCAAATGTTAGACCGAACTGTATCCTTTTTACGACACAGTCAGTCTGCACCCTAGATGCAACCACATCAATACAACCACACTGCTCTGCGGCCAGTAGCAATGCAAAGCGGAACACTACATGAAAGTAGAAGTGTTTTTCTAATATTGAGAACGGTGAAGTGACCAAATTGTGATGAGAAAAAAATGGTTTGAATTACATAAATAGGTAAGACTGTGACTAAAAAGTGAACATGAGGCATTGAATGGTGTGATGAGTTTTCGGTTTTCGAATAATGAAACGCTATGCCAGTGCGCGGTGTGCATTGAAACGATATGCACCAAGCAGTACGCATTCGCATGCACAGGGTTAAAATTCGCCTTGGATGATTGATCGATCGATTATTCGTTTGATAGAGTTATAACTTGTTTACATGGTTGATTGCCGAAAATGGTAAAGAGGAAGTACTATTTCTCGCTGCTTCACACATGAATGTAGCTCACCGGTATTGAATCTGTGGAGTTTGTGGCCCCTGTTTCATTCCGCTTGCTTCGAGCGACGTAGAGATATACGGAACCTCGATCAGCCAATTCTGGCCCACTTGCGGTGTTCGGAACTAAATAAGTCAAATCATCGTGCCACGTGTTCACTGTGCTCGGGTCCGAAGACATCGATCGCATATGGGGTTTTTCCATTGTGGACAGTCTGGATGGACGTTTCGTACTGATTATGCGACTGTCCCGATAGATGTGTCCATCGTTTTCATTTTCCCCAAAAGGTGAAGGAGATCGTGCTAGACGAAGGTGTGGTTGTGTTGATACGAACACCGGGCTGAATGATCTGACAGAAACCACTCGTTGAGACTGTCTACTGGGTTCCACAGATTGTACGGATATTTGTCTCGGTTGATGGGCCGGCGGAAAGTGAACTGGTGACAGGCAAGGTCGTGAAACCGGACGTTCAGTACGAACTGGTAGTTTGGGTGATGTCTGCTGGTGTGTGACTCGATGGTCCGTGAAGTTGGGGTAAGCAGTGTTCGGGATGAACGAACGAGCTGGAAGGGTATGATCCGGAATAGGACTGGTAGAAACCGGTCGAGCAGGAGTGAAAGTATTTGTATTTTGTGTAGCTACTGATTTTCGGGTGACGCGTTCAGTCGCTGGGGGACTGGACATCATAGGAGGTGCTACAACGTTAGCCGCACGGAGTAAATATTGTGGATCTGATGTGCTCTGTTTGATAAGTTCCTGAATTCGGGTCATGTCGTCCACGTTTTTGCACATATACGTCTCGTAACTTCGTTTACCGGTCGCTTCCTCTTCCACGCAAAGCATAAACACGTTTGGTCGTGAGAGAAATGTGTAGAGTTGTTTAATCTCACGATAGTTCAAGTATTCCCGATGCGAAGCACTTCCCGAACCAGACTGTTTCCCAAAGCGCATTCGATCGATCAGGAAATTCACATATCCGACCGGTTTCTTTTTCTTCATGTGTTTTTCTAACAATGAGTTTGCCATTCCCTCGGTGAATATTTCATCCCCTTTGAGCACAGTTCGTCCCATTGTGCAAATCTCAAACTCATTGAACAGCAACTGCTTTGATCTTGCATCCACTGTCTGGTTGCCCAGAACTGTATAAGTACGGGCTTTACTTCGTGACCGACTTCGAGATTTGGGCATGATTTTAAGCGTCTAGCAAAAACTACAAAGATAACTTGCACAGACAAAGACAGCGAATATCACTCTCTTTTAATCCATCAATGATCGTGTAGGAAAAAGCACATCATTTTTTGTTTAACCACACATAAGTGACAGTGGAGCTCAGGCGTTTCTTCTGTCTGTCAGCCCACTGGTTTCACCTTATCGCTGTTTTGATGTACAGTCTCATCTTACTGTGACGGACTGAACTCACCAATCCGTAGCCAAGTCACGTGAACCACCGATTTTTTGAGACGGAGGTGGATGTAAGCTCATCGTTTGGTGACTTGGTGAGTACATATATAAAGATGGGTCGATATAAATAATTTGATTACCGTTGGAAATATATTTTGTTTCCTCATTTAGATTTAGCGGCAATCTTTCATCAAAAAAATCGTCGGTGCGATGATGGAAATGTTAGGGGATTGCAAGTGGGAAACAACTTGATTTAAAGCCAAGGTTAGTTGATCAACAAAATCTGTTTACTATCTTGAAAACCGGAAGCGCAGTCTCAAGACAAAGGGAAGTGAGGAAAATTGAGGAGGAAATAAAAAGCTCGTTGAAATATCCCAATTCCTAATTGGAAAGACCGTTAGAGCAAAGATAGTTGTTTCGATTATTCATTCTCAAGCCTCTACATCGATATACGATTTTAGGGTGGCAAAAAATGTCATGATTCATAAAATAAACTGGGGTGAGAGTGGTTGGGTTTACGAAGATGTAATCATTTGTTTAAACTGATATCATAACATGATCATCCACTGATCGTTTGATTTTCTGAACGGTGGTGATTACGTCATTTTGTTGATCCATAGCAACCTCAATATGTGACTGATCTGATTTTGCTGGCACATTTTGGCGTGATCTATCCGAATCAAAAATGCATCGACCGTGCAAAGCATAATTTGCCTCAGATTCATTGGGGTTCGACATCTACCGTATGACCCTTGTTTACCAGATGCTGCACAGTGGAGCTACAAATGACCTTTTTTGCACCTTTTCTCACCACACCACCTGGTACTCTTGAATTTGTTTGGTTAACCGACGGCTGTTGCGACCGATACAACCGATTCCGCAGGCGCACGTGAATAGGTAAAATGCCATAGTAATGGTTGTCAGTGGCAGTCAATCTTTAAGTTTCTGATCAGTGACCGGATAGGATGAGTAGAATATTTTCAATTGGGCGGTATTAAATGTGGATTTTAAGAGTTTATTTTCGAACAGCTCATTGATACCATCGTTGATAAAAGGCAGCTGGATATGTAATCGTTTCTCGAGGTCGGTGTAGAGTTTTATTATTTTAGGAAAGTGCTTTGTAATTGCTGTGATTCATCTGCTAGTGTTCCGCTGGAACAAATCATTCTTGATCGGCGAGATGGACAACTCACTGGGTTTGGATTCTGCTGGATCGGTACCGTACTGTGGAAGTTTACATGTTGCCCAATCGAAGTGCGCTGTGTATGCTTGTTTCTATCAATGGTTGTATCCTCTTTTTGGGAAGACAGCACATCGAGGAAAGGAATANATCTATCCCTTTCGCGCTCCAGGGTAAATTGTATCGACTCACGTGCCTCGTTGAACTTCAACAAAAGTTGTGAAACATTAGTTGTTGCATTGCTACTTGCAAAGATATCATCAACGTAACGAAAATAATTATCCAGATCGTGGGGTTTTAAACTTAGCCATAAAAGTGTATGCTTCTAATGGGTCATCCAGTTTATTTAATGAATCATGGCTTTTGTTGCTGCCCTGAGATCGTATACTAATATAAAAGCTTGAGAATCAATAATCGAGACGAACATCTTCAATTCAATGGTCTTTTCAATAAAAATGCTCATAACGATAACCGAAATTAAATATCAGTTAATTACACTAGTACGCTCAATGATTGTGGTAGTTGATCATCGGTTTTCTTTAGGCTTGATGGAGAAGTTCGACATCCTGCATCAACTCTTTTACTCCTTTTCTATAAGATTTTGCCAGGCACGCGGTTCTCATTTGGTTTCATCCATTTGGTTCACCTCAGTCCCTTCAAAGGGTCTTCCGTACTGGAAGGAACTCTTCTTTTATTTACTCACACCTACTCGCTTGCGGATATCTTATCCCAATTAAAATACGCTCAGTTGAGAGAAGGTAGGTTTCCACGTACATGGGTTCATGTGAAACACTCAATGGTTAGATAAACTGAGTGATACGGCTTATTATCGTGAACAGTGGCGCTCGTGAATCTACTCATTATCCGGCGCATGAAAGTGCATGGCTAATGTTTGTAAAAGCTAAACTGAACTAATTCATGGGTATGAACGAGGGCCCTGCGGTGAGCAACTGAGAACGGCCATCACAGAATGAGTAGAGTTACGAGAAGGAGCAGAAGTGGAGCAATATGGATGTAAATGTATATGTCGATGCCGTGCGTGATAATGGTGGCGTGGATGCATCAGTAAAGCATTGCGGTGATTGAAGCGAGTGATCCACTAAAGTGGCATATTCAAGCCTGGTCTGCCTTCGAACCCAGGAACACTCGCATTCGAAGCGAGTATCATACACTGAGACCTGCAGACCCCCAATGAGAATAACACAAATCCTTAAACCATAAGCATACGAAGTAACAGTGTATTTAAATATTATTTAACTAAGCGGAGGTAAATTCACCACCACATGAACTTTGCCCATTCATTTACAACATCTGAAGATTTAAAAAACCAATCGACTTCAACATCACATACTTTGCTGCATTTATATCCTCTTGCAGTATCGGTCATATTGAAAATGGGTTATGGAATGTAGAACAACTCATGAGGAGTTGGGCTGGGTTGAACTGGGTGGTCATACTAGTAATGGACAGTCAAGCAGTCATTGTATCGTTATTTGAACCAGTAGGGAAATAACTATCAGCCTATCTAACAGCTTTCAGTTTGTTGATACAACCAAAGTTCTAGACGTAAAAGAAAGGAAAGTGTGGCTTGTTGACCTTATGTTCCTATTCAATATTGAGCTTCTCAAGTGCAACGATCCATTTCTTATGGCAATAATTGAACAAAGGAAGGTAGCTGGTAAACTATTTGTTGAAGAAGGCTCTTGTTTTTGTACATATATGCTCCAATCTCTTTTATGGTCAGCTGTATCACCCAAACTACGGTGTTGCTATGTGTTCTTCACTATGAAGGTGATTAAACCACTTGTTCATGGTCGAACTCCCAAATGGTCCATTAAAAGATATATAAAAGCGTTTATGTCAAATCGGCAGCATCTGCACAATTTAAGTAGTGACAGGTAATTCTCCAATCCGAACGGAAATTGTACGTCTTTTCAACTCCTCACAAACGAGCGTTTAGTTAATTTCTAGATGGACTTTGGCACGGGATTTGACATTCTTATAACTCGACGCTCGGAACGTTTTATCCAGATGAATAGTCATTGGGAGCAAAAATCGATCGGACTGTGCACAAATTGTCGTGGTTTGGACCATTACAGAACAAGGAGAATCTAATCCGCCTTAATGTGAATGAAACTCTATAATTGGGTTCATCAGACTCGGAACAGAGTTGATAAATCGGTTCTGCTGGTTGGCACAGTGGTAACACACGCCTTACGTGTGATGGGTCCAGAGTTCAAATCCCGGACGGGACAGTGCATATACACTACTATTGGGCTCTAATAAGAGTGAAACTCGAGTCTAGTGTTTCCGAGAGTATGGTTGAATAAAACAGCTGAGGAATATACGTGAAGGTGAGTCCAATCAGTCAATACCAACTATACCAAAAAATATTCAGAGCAGGATATCGAACTAAATTATTACGCATTTTAACTGAAAGCTCTTCAAATTGCCTAGACAGAAGTGTTTATTGTTACCGAAGAAAGCAATTCTAGTTGTTCATTCATTGATTGTTGGAGATAATACGTAGACACCACACAGTGATTGGTGCTTCAGCAGACACACGTAACCAATTAAATCGAGTATGTCAAAACCCAATTAAGCCAGAATGATCTGGTTTATCCAAAGACAAACAAATGAGTTACCAAGGGAGAAAGGAAAATTTGGTGAGGTACGTTATAATTATTCTTCTCCCCAAACGGTTTATGTCCTTGGACCATGGTGGAGTGTGTTAGCCGAGAACGAACGAACGAACCCAAACGATATTGATCTGTCTTTGGGGTAAGGAAGTAAATCCCTTAAGGATGAATCGATAAACAGGTGTGAATGGTGGCATGATTCATTACATGAGTGGGTCCAACCTAAGTCGTCAATAGCCCAATGAGTAAATCTCATTCATATTTATGACAACAACAGGATGCAAAACAATGGATCTTGGATAGAATAGAAGAATAATCTTTTTGTAATCAGAACAGCACGGATGAATTTGGACTCATTTACTACCGAACAGAAATTACATCTTTTTTCATTGCGACCACCAGGTTAAAGATTGTATTTTTTTCTACGGTGCCAATGGAAATAACATGAAACCTACAGCTTCTCTTTTCCTTACCCAGTCTCGGTGTATAGGTTTTAACCTCGTTGCATCATTTCACATCCTTGACGCAACTTTTCACAGCCTAGTTACATCTGCGTGAGACTTATAGCATAGTGACTGCGACAGATGATGACAAGAATGACTCAGATTTGTCCATGATCGTGTAACGGATGATATAGTTGAGCCGGATGCCTCATGGGATAACATAATTTAGTACTCGAAATAGCAATCGTAATTGACTAGCATGAAGTCGGAGTTGGACTAAAAACCCACCTAATATCGCAGTCAGATAGAACCTAGTTGAGTCGAGGCTAAAACTAATTCCCTTCTGAGAGTCACGCAAATAAATAACATCATCAATAATCAATCATTGGTAGAATCCTCTTTGTCCGGTCGTTATCAATATGATCAGCTTGTTACCCTTCCCGCATTTAGATAATCCGATTGCTTACATTTGACCTCTTGAGGATGGTAAGAATTTTCGCATCCTGTTTTGCTTCCTGGAGGCTA